GTCAGCAGTGGCGAAGACCAAGTCGTCGACGTACACGAGGATGTAGAACGGCGGCAGCGACGTGTCGGTGCGCAGTAACATCGACGGGTCAGCAATTGACAGAGCAAACCCAAGAGCCGCAAGTGTAGTCCTCAGTGTGTCGTGCCACTCACGTGGTGCCTAGCGGAGACCGTAGACTGGCCGCTGGAGGCTTCACTGGGTACCAGGAGGGAACGACCCAGTGAAGCCACGAGGGTGGCGCAGCGAGATCTCCTCGTGCGGGCTGCCTTGTAAGGACCTGTGCTCAAGTCAAGAGAGTGAAGCTCGTAATCACGCTGAGCGTCGACGAGCAGCAGCGCTCGAAGAGTGGTCATCTTCGGGGTGGGGGAGAAGGTCTGAAAGAAGTCTACTCCCTCTCGCTGACTGAAGCCTCGAGCAATGTAACGAGCCTCGAAGACAGGCGGAGAACTTGGCGGCCGCTTCACCCTGAAAATCCACATGCCACTGACGATGTTCGCCCCACGAGGGGGAACCTCGTCAACGTAGGTGCCTATGGACTTCCAAGATGCCATCTCAGCGTTCATGGCTGTTTGCCACTGAGAGGAGTAGGGACCATCGATCGCCTCAGCGTACGATCGAGGAGTCGGGGTGTCTGGAGCATCTGGGTCTCCCTTTGAGGCAAGTAGCATGGACACGAGGTGAGGCGCAGCGGCTGCAAGACACGGACTGTGTGGTGACGTTGTGATCCACCCTGAGCTTTGTCTGGTTTGCTTGACTGGTCTTGTGACCCCTTGTTCTCCCCTACTTTGCCAATGGGGGCAGGGCCGGTGCTAGGTTTTGGGTCACCCTGAGTCCTAAGGGCACTTTTCTAGAATTCAAAAAAATGCTCTGATTTCTCAGGGCAAATCTTATGAGCCTTTCTGATTGGTCAGGGCTTTTGTAGAAAATAATCCTGACGTGTCAGGGCAAAATTAGTAGCGTTCAGGGTTCTGATTTTAGCCCAAACAGACCAGACCAGACTCTGTTCTGTTTAGCATAGCAGAGCAGCCGCAACGCTGCAGCGCACATACAGTTGGTGTTTTACTAGGCAATTAACTCCTGCACCACCTCTCCTAGCCCTCCTCCTCCTCATTATCATCTTCGCTGCTGCTACTAAACCCACTGTCGCTGCTGCTGCCACTGCCATGTTCAGTATCTGCTTCTTGTCCGTCCTCCCCCCCGTTCCCCTTCCCCGCCTTCCTCTGCTGCTCCCTTCTCTTAGTAGGCCTCCTCTTCTTGCTGCTGCGCCACAAATCCACCACTTTACCCCATTCTATGTCATACTCAGTTAGGCTCAGGCACATCAAGTCACTGAGCCTGGCATCAAAGAGGCTGGTCCTCTGCCAGGACTTAATCACGTTCTGGCGGCTAAAGCCGCGCTCACACTCGACGGTGCTGAGCGGCAGGACAGCCACCGCCGTCCAGAGGCGGACGAGGTTGGGGTAGCTCCGCTCCCAGTCCTTCGTTCTCAGCATGGCCGCCAGTCCGCGTTGAAATGTGCGCTCGCCTTTGGGAGCGCCAGCCAGAACAGGGACAAATGTCCTCAGTTCCTTCTTGGCAGCTCGCTTGTCCACTCCTGCCATGCCAAGCATAACACAACACACATAACAGTGACAGAGCAGGGGCAGAACAAGTCAGAGAGGTGGAAATGTACATAGCAAGGAGAGAACTTGGCAGATTGTGGGAGACTGTGGGGTAGGAGAACAGTAGTGCAGATTGGGCAGGAGCAGTACAACAGGTAGGAGCAGAACACAAATGCTTACCTGGGAGAATGTCTGATCGCTCGCGGGCATGGAACAGGGCGACTAGGGTCTCCAAGTGCTCGCGGCACTCCTCAGCGTGTGCCTCCTTGTCTTCGGGGTACGTGTCTGGCATAAACAGCCGGACACCGTTCAGGCTGTCGAGATCCCCCAGCCTCTTTTGGAGGTGGGTGAGCGTCGAATTGGCGTGGCGGCGGCAGACGTCAAGGCACGTCTGCAAGTCGTCAGCTGTCTTGCTGTAGCCCGTCAATTCCTCCTCGTGCAGCTCAAAACTATGTTCCCGCTTCTCCCCCTCCTTGTCCACGCCTGCCACAGTGACTTTCGGAGACTTACTAAGCCTGGCTAGGAAGGCCCCGAGGTGTAGCTGTGGGCCGCCACCGAAGTCATCGCCGCACTCGATGTAGCGCGTTCGGATGGTTATCAGTGTGCGGCGCACGGTCGACTGCACCGATGTCATGTCGACCTGCCACATGACAAGGTGCAGATTTAACAAGGACCGTCCAACCAGCACAGACTAGGGTCTCGGGCTTACAGTAGGGTACTCACCTCCCGCCTCTGAAACTCAAGGTTGAGGGTGTTGAGGAGGTTGAGCATGTCGGCGAGGTAGTAAAGGTACACATTGAACTTCACTGAAGTCACAATGTGGTACCACTCGTCGTCCCACTCCCACAGGAGCACGATGACGGCAGGGAGAACACGCACCAAGCGCGTGATGGCATCGCCGCGGCTCAGCCAACGAACTGAGTGAATTCCCTGCAGTTCAAGGTTAGTCTTGCAAAACACCTCCTGCAGCTCCTGGAACTCATTGTGGGAAGGATGCGACCTTCCCAGGTACTTCGCGAGTTCAGAGCAGCACTAGCACCAGCCACTACTGTGGCGGCATGCAGCATGTGACTGAATGTAACTGTATGTGTTCAATACACGCGTGTAACTGCGACAAATAGCAAAGTTTGCAGTAGCTGCGCGTAATGCACCAACGAGGAAATGAGGAGATACGGAAGGAGAAGGGTCCTTGAGAGGGCAGCGGAAGCGTAAAATAAAGGAGGAACCTGGGAAGGAGGCATAACGGTTTTGCGGCAGCGGACTTACCACGACTGAAGGGCGGGTGCCCAGAAGGTCCAATGAGCAGCCTGCACAGTGATGGAAAAACAGTAGTGGGTGACAGTAGTGGGTGACAGTAGTGGGTGACAGTAGTGGGTGACAGTAGTGGGTGACAGTAGTGGGTGACAGTAGTGGGTGACAGTAGTGGGTGACAGTAATGGGTGACAGTAGTGGGGGACAGTAGTGGGTGACAGTAGTGGGTGACAATAGTGGGTGACAGTAGTGGGTGACAGTAGTGGGTGACAGTAGTGGGTGACAGTAGTGGGTGACAGTAGTGGGTGACGGTAGTGGGTGACAGTAGTGGGTGATGGTAGTGGGTGACAGTAGTGGTCGACGGTAGTGGGTGACAGTACAGCCACACACAACAAAAGGTTGCGCAGTTTTACCACGTGGAGCAGCACAGCACAGCACAGCACAGCACAGCACCGCACAGCACAGCACAGCACAGAAAAGCACCGCACAGTATATCAAGAACAAGTAGAAATTTCAAGCCACGGCACACAGCAGAGACATCCGAGTGCCAGGTCAAGTGGATCGGGGTTTCGGGTTTCAGGTTATAAGAAACACTTTAATCGACTCAAAAGCAGCCGCTTGGCAAGCTTGAAGCCGCGATGTCGCGTCTTATTCAGCCCAGCTACGCGGGACTCGACGGTAATTGCAACCAGACGTTAAAAAATAACGAGATATCAAGCTGGTACATACGTGTACCATACATTTTAGAAATAGGTGACCTCAAGCTGGTACATACATGTACCATACAGACTTACGTGGTGGCAGCAGCACGAGATCTGGCTTCGTACCTGCCAGGATCAGCAGCAGCGCGATCAGGGACAGCCAAGTCATGGTCGCGTGTGGGAGAGGAGCCGTCGTCGTCAAATCGAGTTGCTGAACACGGCTGAGGTTGCGTAGTGCCAGAGCCACTAGAGCAGTGCTCTGGCGTGATTCTTGCTAAGAAATTGCTGGTTCTGATACCCGATGGCCCGACGCTTTCTCGCTCCTTTGTCGTGTCGTACTCGTTCGCCGGCCGGCGTCGGTGACGGGGGACACATTAACGAGTCCCTCCCGCGAGGCAAACGTGCGCGAGGCCCGGGGGGCGCGGAGAGAGGCCCTGGCGCCAGCGGAGACAGGAATCTTGGGTTCCCCGTGTCTTCGGTTCGCTTGTGAAAGAGAGTGGTGCAGAATGGTGCAGAACTCGACATAATGTCAACCATTCAGCGGCTGCAGAAGCATTACTCAACAAGATCACAGCCAAACAGTTGACATTTGTTAGGTTCGACAAAAGTGTACTGAATGTGATCAACTGAACGGCACCCCCCAGCATCCCCTGGTTAGAGGCGGGAAGTTTGTTTGATTTCGGACAACGCGACGCGACGCATCCATCGAGGGGATGTGCGAACGAACAGGATCGTCGGACAGGTGTTGGTGCGGTCATCTTAACATCAGCCTGAGAAGGCCTTCAGGCGTCCCTAATCGCTGGCGGTTGGGAAATGGCGGTGCGAGTGGACGCATCAGCGTTGAGATTATCGACGGGGGTACTGCTAGGGTAGGGTGGCAAACTGGGGTGGCTGGGGAAGGAGGGGAGCATAGTATTTTTTCTAAGCCTTTGTCTGCCGCCCGCAATGCTTCACTAATGTTTCCCCGATACGAAAGGGTCAATGGTTGCGGGGTATAAATTGGGATGTACTAAAAACAAGACACAAGACTGCTTATTGTAGCACCACATGTTTTCTATACGCGAGTACATGCCCTTGCAGCTCCCTGTCAACAGGGAAGTGTGCGTGGAAGAAACGCGCCACCTGCAAACCAAGGCAAACAACCACCAACACGATATTGTAATAATAATTTCATTTACTTATGTACAGAGTCCGCACAACTGCTGAAGACTGAAATCAAGGGCTTCATTCCAGTAGTCATTCCGAATCCGCATGGGAGAAGCACATACCTCTGTGTACCCAATACACTGAAGGAACGGCAGCAGCAGCAGCAGCAGCAGCAATGCGAATGAGAGGAGCACGTTACGTACCTCAGTGTAGCCAGCACAACGGAGGAACGGCAGCAGCAGCGGCTGCTCCGTGTCGAATGCAACCACCAGATCCAGCAGCTCTGGCCGCCCACCTCCTTTCACCCCGTAGCACCCTTCCAAAGCCAAGCACGTACCTCAGTGTACCCGGCACAACGGAGAAACGGCAGCAGCAGCAGCTCCTCTGTGTCGAATGCAACCACCAGATCTGGCAGCTCCGGCCGCCCACCTCCATCCACCCCATAGCACCCATCCAAACATCTTCCCTCTATCTGTTCAAAATCGCCCGCACATGCACGGACATCTGCTGCTGCTTCCCCACCTCCTCCCCCATGCTCGTGCTCATGCCCATCAGCAAGCGCATGCCCATGCTCCCCGTGCATGCATGCCCCCTGCTCTGCCGTCCCGCTGCTGCTGCCTCTGCACGTGGCGGGGGTGCCAGCGTGGAAATCGGCTGTAGCGTCATAAACACAATGAGAGGCGGCTGTAGCACTGTGAGCAGCAGCAGCAGCAGCAGCAGAAGCTGCTGTAGCGGGGCGAGCAGCAGCAGCGCCTGCTGTAGCACCATGGCCCAGACCCGAGATGCATGCATGAACAGATGTATGGATGGTGTAGCGAGATGAGAGGAAGTCACGTGGGTCGGCGAGAAGATCTTCAAACTCCCTTTCACGGGACATGGTGATGGTGCCGTTGGGATGGGCTAGAGGGAGGGGAGGGGAATGGGGATGGGGATGTGGTGTAGAGGGAGGGGAGGGGAATGGGGATGGGGATGTGGTGTAGAGGGAGGGGAGGGGAATGGGGATGGGGATGTGGTGTAGAGGGAGGGGAGGGGAATGGGGATGGGGATGTGGTGTAGAGGGAGGAAGGCGTGTGGGATGGCAAGCAGACCTTGAAACTCCCTTACACCAGACATGCAAACCTTGAAACTCCCTTTCACGAAACATGGTGATGGTGCCGTTGGGATGGGCTGGAGAGAGGGGATGAGAATGGGGATGGGGATGCGGTGTAGAGGGATGTGGGGAAGGCATGTGGGATGGCAAGCAGACCTTCAAATTCCCTTTCACTACACATGGTGATGGTGCCGTTGGGATGGGCTGGAGGGAGGGATGGGGAGCGAAACGAGGGGAAGAGGTGGGGCGAGAGGAAAGGATTGCAGAGCGGTGTAGTGGGATGTGACGGATACATGTGGTTCTGCCAGCATTTTGAGACGTCTCAAAATTGCAGAGCAGTGTAGTGGGATGTGAGGGATACATGTGGTTCTGCCAGCAAGTCTATGAATTCGCTTTCACGAGTCATGATGATGGGGCCATTGGGCTGGGCTGGACAGGAAAGACAGGAAGTCAGTCAGGAGGAAGTGGCAGAGAGAGTTTAGACTTGGGAGAGGAATTGGGAAAGATAGACGAGTGTGGGAGGCAGTAAGCCATGTAGGACAAGAGGCTTACATGAGACAGTGGGTGTGCGAGGTGACTTTTGAGTCGACTCAAAAGTCACCTTAGGACAAGAGGCTTACATGAGACAGTGGGTGTGCGAGAGAAGGGCCTTCGAATATTCTCAACACCAACACGGCATGTAGGATGGTTCACATGAGATGATGGGGGCGCATGTGAGCATAGTGAGTGCAGCAGCAGTGTTGGAAATGTGGGAGTGGGAGGGAGTCGAGCAAACGAGAAGAGGGACAACTGTGGGGGAATGGCAGCACAAGGGACTAGAGGCAAGTTTGGGGCAAGAGACTAAGAGGCAAGAGGCAAGGGACAGGAGAATAGAGGCTTACATGTGAGGATGGGGGCGCATGAGAGCATGGTGAGTGTGACTGCGGGGTTGTGGAGGTGGGAGTGGAAGGGCGTGGAGTGGCAAGGCATCAGAAACAACACCTCCACTCTCCCCTCCCTCACTCCTTCCCCCCCTTCATTTCCTCCCCCCTCCCCCTCAATTCCTCCTCCCCTCCCCACGTCCCTTGATGGTGTTGAGTGGGTCTGCAGAATCCCGTGGATCTCTCCCTCTAAGAAGGGCATGACAGAAATGGTGCCTCGCTGGTGGCTGGTGGAGAGGTACAGAGCGGCCAGGAGCTGGGGGAGGAAGGCTGCTGTGAGGAGTAGGCGGAACAGGGGCGATTGTGGGTGGAGGAAGGGGGACAGGAAGGCGCGCCATGATTGATCTGCTGGGCCGGAACGAGATGATGTGGATCTTTGGGACGGGTTGGGTAATTGAGATGGTTCGGGCGGTTTCAAGGAGTTAGATGCTTGATGGAGCGGAGGCGATTGGCCGGGTGTGTGAGGCTTGGTGTTGCTGGTGTTGCAGTTGTTACAGGTGGTGGCGAGTCTTGAATGCTCTCTCTCCCTCTCCTCATTCAGGAGAGAGAGGGCGAGAGCAGCGTATGTGTTGAGGAGAGGGAGCGAGAGCAGGATGAAGCTGCGGGGAAGGGGGATGTGGGGAGGGTGACAAGGGGGGTGGAGCAGGAGGGGATTGCCGGGAGGGGATACAAGGTATGCATAGAGATTGACATCAGAAGTTTTTGCTACATTGAGAAAGAGTTGTGACAACACCGGGGACGAAGGAAAAGAGCCAGGGTACGAGCAATAGTAGCACTTGTGTGTTTGAAATTGATTGCGGAATCGGAAGCGCTTTGCAACTCCCTCTCCTAGCATCTCCATGAGAGGCGTTTGTCTTTTGAGTCGACTCAAAAGTCACCGCAACTCCCTTTCCTACCATCTCCACGAGAGGTGTTTGTCCATACTGATTCACAAGTCCCCTCAGTACAACTCAGATCAGCCAAGAGCTGAGTTGACCGATTTCTCTCTACTCTGGCCAATCCTCATTTCTTCACTACTCCCACTCACACACACCAGTGGTCCTCCTACCACTCCTACTCACTCACTCAATCACACACTCACTCACCGGTGCTCCTTGTGATCCGAGAGGGAGTAGAAGAGAGGCAGCCAGAGGGCCAGCAGGAAGGGCAGGCGCACCGACCACCACACCAGACCCTGCTGCAGGTGCTGCAGCAGATGGTGAAGATGGTGAAGATGCGTATAACGAGGTGGGGAGTCAGAGGGCGCGGAAGGGTGGAAGAAGGAGCACCAGAGGAGGCCGAGGCAGGCGAGGGGGAAGAAAGTGCCGTGCATGGCTATGAGGCCCTGGGAGATGAGGCGGGGTGCAGAAGGGTGTAAATGGGTATAGAGAGATCCAGGTGAGAAAATAATGACAAGGTTGAAATGCATGTGAGTGCGGAGTAGATGCCGTTCATTGCCATGATGGGGGATGAGGAGGGTGGGGGATGAGGAGGGTGGGGGAAAGAGAAAGGAGGGGATGAGGAGGGGAGCAGAAGGGTGTAAAAGGGTTCTATAAGGATCCAGAGAAAGAGCGAGGATGAACACACGTGAGGGGGAGGGATGAGAGTGTGCCTTGCATGGCTGTGAGGAGTGTCTGGGGAGAAGGATAGGATAGACAGGGGCTAGGAGGGTAGCAGACGTGAGCAAAGAGGCGCAGGGGTGCAACAGGATATGAGAATCCCCAGGTTGAAAGCATGCGAGGGGAGGGAAGGAAAGAAGGTGTGTTATGCATGGCTATTCGGCCACTGCGGGTCTGCCCATGCGCTCGTCTCTTACACACATGCATACACACACTCCCCTACCTGCGACCAGTACCACTCCTGCCCAAATACACGCACACTCCTGCCTGCGACCAGTATCAATACTGCCCAACCCAGATGCGCACACACACACCCACACTCCTACCTGCGACCAGTACCAGTGCCAGGGGTTGCTGCCGTACAGACTGGAGCCCTTGAGATGCACGTTGAAGCGGAGAAGGTTCAGGGGGGTGAACACCATTGGCTGGCCGTACTGCCAGCTGTCCACAGCCACTGTGATCGCGACAGCTATCAGGCTGGCGATAGGGACCCGGAAGTGAGGGAGAGAGGGAAGCGGCGTTGTGGGGGGGATGCGGTTGTGCAGGGGATTGGGGGGAGTTGGGCGGGGATGGGTTGAGTTGGCACTCGCAAGGGGGCGTTACACACTTTCAAAGGAGCATGGCTCACCCGATAGGCAGCACTTCTAGCCCTAACAGCAGCACCCACTCCCACCTGCCCCTGCCCCTGCTGATTTCCTCTCCCTTGAGCGGCCCTTCCAGCAGCAGCAGCGCGAGCTTGTGCAGAGCCAGAGGCAACCAGAAGGGCGTGCAGGAGAGCCGAATCACAGACACTTGACAGAGACCCAGAGCGGCACAGTCACAGGGGAAAAGTGTATGTTTTTTTAGAGTTCTCACATACACGGCAAATCACAGACACTTGAGAGAGACCCAGAGCGGCACAGTCACAGACACTTGAGAGAGACCCAGAGCGGCACAGTCACAGACACTTGAGAGAGACCCAGAGCGGCACAGTCACAGACACTTGAGAGAGACCCAGAGCGGCACAGTCACAGACACTTGAGAGAGACCCAGAGCGGCACAGTCACAGGGGAAAAGCATCCACAAAGTTGACTTTTGAGTCGACTCAAAAGTCAAGAAGGGCGTGCAGGAGAGGCGAATCACAGACACTGGACAGAGACCCAGAGCGAGTTTTGAGACATCTCAAGACTCGATTACAGACACTTGACACAGACCCGGAGCGGCACAGTCACAGGGGCATCCTTACCCGATAGGCAGCACTTCTAGCCCCAGCAACCGCACCCACTCCCATCTGCCCCTGCTGCTGCCCTTCAGCGCCCCTTCCAGCAGCAGCAGCAGCGAGAGCTCTGGAGAAGGTGCGTGTTGCGCAGAAGAAGAGGGACCAGCAGCAGCGATTTCACTTGACAGGAGCAAGAATTTACCAAGTCTCACCCGATAGGGCGTGCTGGTGGGGCGTGCTGGTGGGACGAACCCCTCTAGGCAACCATACTCACACAGATTATTCACCAGCGCTCACCCGATAGGCAGCACTTCTAGGAGCAGCAGCCGCACCCACTCCCATCTGCCCCTGCTGCTGTCCTTCCCTCCCTTCAACGTCCCCTCCAGCAGCAGCAGAGCAAGCTCGTGCAGACCCAGGGGCAGCCAGAAGGGAGTGCTGGTGGGGCGAACCATGCACGCTGCTGCTGCCAAGGCGAGGGCCAGTGGGCGGTTGGCTCCCCTAAGATCAGAGACCTGAGCGGTTGCAGACAATTGCCCTCCTCCTCTCCCTTGCTCAGCACCTCTCCCTTTGGCGGCCTCAGTGCGCCCCTGTGTCCCCTCACCCGTGTCCTGCGCGCCCTCAGTGTCCCCCTGGCAGTGGCGCCAGGGCCAGTAGGAGAGGGCGATGACAGAGAGGGAGGCCTCGAGGGAGTTGGAGAAGGTGCGTGTTGCGCAGAAGAGGAGGAACCAGCAGGTGAGATTGCAGAGAAGCTGGGGGGGGGGGGGCAAGCAGGGGAGGGGAAAGAGAGAGAATTAGTTGGAGAAGGTGCGTGTTGCACAGAAAAGGAGGATCCAGCACGTGAGATTGCAGGCGAGCTGATGGGGGGACGAGGAGAGGGGCGAGGGGAGGAGGGTGAGAAGGGGTGGGGGTGCATCGTGAGAGCGCATGTGGGAAGGGGAAAGAGAGCATCGTGATTGAAGAAGGGTTTTGAGACATCTCAAAACCCTTCTTCAATCGAGAGGGGTGGACGGGTGAGAAGGGGTGAGGGGTGCATGTGGGAAAAGAAAGCATCAGTTGGAACTTGGAGAAGGTGCGCATGGATCAGAAGAAGAGGAACCGGGTTGCAGGCGACTTGTGGAGGAAAACAAAGGGGAGAAGGGGCGAGGTAAGGGGCAAATGTGGTAAGCTGGAGCCCTTTGAGTCGACTCAAAAGTCAAAGGGGAGAGGGGGCGAGGTAAGGGGCAAATGTGGTAAGCTGGAGCCGTCGGTTGGAGAAGGTGTGTGTGGCACAAAAAGAAGAGGAACTGGCAGGCTAAATTTGCAAAGGAGCTGTAGGGGGGCAGAGGGACAAGAAGAGCAGGAGAGAGGGGGTGCAAAGCAGCAGCAATATCCCCCCCTCCCAATCACTTCAGTTCAGTAGACATGATCCCAATCACTTCAGTTCAGCAGACATGATCCCAATCACTTCAGTTCAGCAGACATGATCCCAATCACTTCAGTTCAGCAGACATGATCCCAATCACTTCAGTTCAGTAGACATGATCCCAATCACTTCAGTTCAGTAGACATGATCCCAATCACTTCAGTTCAGTAGACATGATCCCAATCACTTCAGTTCAGTAGACATGATCCCAATCACTTCAGTTCAGTAGACATGATCCCAATCACTTCAGTTCAGTAGACATGATCCCAATCACTTCAGTTCAGTAGACATGATCCCAATCACTTCAGTTCAGTAGACATGATCCCAATCACTTCAGTTCAGTAGACATGATCCCAATCACTTCAGTTCAGTAGACATGATCCCAATCACTTCAGTTCAGTAGACATGATCCCAATCACTTCAGTTCAGTAGACATGATCCCAATCGTTCTCGCCTGAGAGCTCCTGGGGGCCCAGCGACGCCGGTCATGGGAACAAGCAAGTCTACCAAGCGGAAACACGTCACTCGCATCGCATCTATTCTCCAAACAATCACCTGCACTGGAACAACAAGGCAGTCGTACGTATGGAGATGTGGGGGTTGGTTGTAGGGCGGGATTCAGTGGACTTGCACTCCAAGTCAACATGGAGAAAACGTTGCAGCCAGGAGAATGGGTGGGTGGGAAAGTGGTCCTTCTCCACTCCCTCAACCCACTGAATCCCGCCCTGCAACCCCCACGCCTCAACATGTACGACTGCCCTTGTTGTTCCAGTGCAGGTGATCGTTGTGGATGCCAGCAACGAGTTTCCACTTGGTAGCTCTCACATGACCGGCGTCGTTTGGCACTGTAGGGCGAGAACGACAAAGATCTTGTCCACTGAAATGTCGGGGGAAATGGTTTTGCTGCTGCTACTGCTGGAGAAAGGGAGTATTGGATGGAGAAGGTGCGTGAGGCGCAGAAGAGGAGAAGCCAGCGTATCTTTTAGGCACCTCGAAAATAGGTGCGCGTGGTGCAGAAGAGGAGGAACCAGCAGTTCAGGTTGCAGGCGAGAGAGGGAGGGAGCGGGGGAGGGGTGGAGAAAAAGGGGCGCATGTAATGGAGAAGGTGGGGTGGGGCTGAGGAGGAGGAAGCAGACGCATAGCTTGCAGGTTTCAACTCACCGCGCATGCAGCGGCAGAGGGGTGCATGTGGGGAAAGAGAGCATTGAATGGAGGAGGTGGGCTTAGGGATGCAGAGGAGGAGCCAGCAGCACAGCTTGTAGGTTTCAGCTCACCACGCACGCAGTGGCAGAGAGGTGGACGGGAAAGAGCCAGTGAGTGAGCGTGTAATGACGCAGATCCCCCAGTGCTGCTAGCTATGGCGGCCTACATTGTTGCACCTCGAGGAGTGGCGTTATGATGAAATGAGATGAGACACCTCTCAGGCCTCAACTCACCGCCCATGCAGCAGCGGAGGGGTGCGAAGGGAAGAGCCTTCGAGTGAGGGCGTAGAGACGCAGATCCGCCAGTGCTGCCATGGCTGCCTGCATGAATCGCGGCGAGTGGCGCTGGAAGGGGAGAGGAGAGACGCGAGGGGCCAAGGGGAACAACCTGTGAGTGAGCGCATAGAGACGCACATCCGCCAGTGCTGCCATGGCTGCCTGCATGAATCGCGGCGAGTGGCGCTGGAAGGGGAGAGGAGAGACGCGAGGGGCCAAGGGGAACAACCTGTGAGTGAGCGCATAGAGACGCACATCCGCCAGTGCTGCCATGGCTGCCTGCATGAACCGCGGCGAGTGGCGCTGGAAGGGGAGAGGAGAGAGAGGTGATGGGATGGGACACGGAGATGGGGAGTGGAGAGGGGTGAGGGAAAGGAGTCAGGGAAGAAAGGAGAACAAGTGGATATGGAGAAGAGAGAGAGAACACAACTAGGGAGCAAGAGTCAAGCGAGAACACATGGGTTGCCTGTGAGTAAGGGAGGGAGTGTTGCACAGCACAGGTGGCAGCCTGTAGTCAGTAAGCAACCGCGACGTGTAGCGAGGTTGTTTTTGAGACGTTTCAAAAACAACCTCACTACACGTCGTTGCCTGCGAGCCAGGGAGGGAGTGTTGCACAGGTGGCAGCCAGTAGTCAGTAAGCAACAGCGGAGAGAGACGCTGAGTGTGTAGCGCTATGTGTTTCACCGTAAGCGCCCAGATAGAATCAACACTCACAACCAGCCAGGGCGTGTCGCAGCATAAGAGGGCGAGCAGGCGGTAACCAGCGGTGAAGAGCGAAGCTCAGTACAGTGCTTGCTTCCCGTGGCTTGAACCATAACAACACTCACAACGAGCCAGGGCGTGTCGCAGCGTAAGAGGGCGAGCAGGCGGTAACCAGCAGCGAAGAGCAGCGGGTGGAGGAAGGAGCGAGCTGCCCACTCAGGCTGCCACTCCCACGTGAGATAGCCGTAGCTGAAAGGAGAGAGAGAGGCATGGGAGCGGCGTGAAGGGAATAGGAGGGGCGTAAAGGAGAGGAGGAAGGGCGTTAATGCAGAAGATTGGATGGGAAGGAGAATAGAAGGGGCGCATAGGAGAGGAGGAAGGGGCGTTTCCAGCCTTCAGGCACGTTGAAACACTTTAGGCGTTCACTTGGCGCTCGAAAGAACTTCCAGGCCCACTTTCATGGCAGATCAGTAGACGTATGCAGGTGGTGGCAGGAGAGGTTGGGGGAAGCGAGGCTGTTGAGGAATGGAAGAGAGGAAGCGAGAATGACGGGAGCAACCAGGGACATCCCTCTGCCTGATGACACACTGGGGTAATAGACGAAATGCCTCCTTCCTTAGACACTGCAACAGTAAACGATATAATTTCTTGAACAGTAAAACACCTTACTGACAACAAGCATGCCATTCGAAGCACTTTTGCTCTTATAAGTGCAATGATTCCTGGATAACTCCTTCACCCAAACGCTAGGTTGATGTGAGTTAAATACCCAATACACCTTCTTCCCTCGATCACAGCATCGACCTGGCAGTGAATCAGGATTCACCCATTGCATCTCACCCGAACACCATCTGGTGAGCCACCTCCGGTTTCTGCCAGAACTCGTCCGGGTTGAAACCAAGTCGCAGCGTCAACCCACACATCACTAGTCGCCCTGATGCACCTACTAGAGAAACTGCATCTCACCCGAACACCATCCGGTGAGCCACCTCCGGTCCCTGCCAGAACTCGTCCGGGTTGAAATAGGTCTGCACTGCGAGACTGTTGAGTAACCTGCAGCCAGGAAGGCAGAGGAAAGGTGAGGGGGTGGGGGAGGGGGGGAGAGGGGGAAGAGAGAAGGTGGAAAGATGTTGTGCAATCTTTTCCGGCATTTTAACTTGAACGTGACTGCATTGGGGAATCCACGATGAAATTGCTTCGTCGAAGCTGCCGATTCTGCTGACCTGAACGCGAGAAGCGCGAGGAAGAGGCTTTTCGGCGGCCCAACGGTCAGCACGGTGGATTGGTGCTTCGCTGACGACTCAAAAGTCTCCTCAGCCGGCTCTGTTAATTGGTGCTTCGAGCCCATCGCTGACGACGGCGCTCGCCCGACGAAGTGGAAGTCTTGAGTGGAAGGCTTAATACGTGCGACGACGGACAATGGTAAATAATCAGCCAGCCTGGCTAGGTGAAATTGTAGCGAGCGCGACGCTTCGGCCAAACTTGCTAGGCGGCATGTGCGGCAACGCGGCGCACGGGATGAGCATTTCAGGATAAATCGTACGGTCAGCGAGGTACTGCTGTTGAGGGACTCATCTGTCACCACAGACAGACAGGAATCGCATACTAGAAGAAATTATAGAATCTAGATTCTGAAAAACTGACAGGCTCGCAGCTTTCAGTAGCTGCTTGGGCGATGAAGCGAAGAGTGGGCATTCTTTGCGAAATCGGAAATACTGGAGATGCGATGCGATGTTTTATTCGCCAAGATTCGCCTATAGCTTGCAGGCTTCAGATCACTGTATTTCAGGCTTCAAATTCGCATCTTCCAACCTTGCGGCAACCCTAGGAACCATTCCCGACTCCGACTTCTCAACTTTCACTGCTCCCTCCATTCGTCATCTCCTCCCTCAGGAATTTCGGACCTTGCATTTTGAACTCCCAGAGCAAGGCAGTCCAGCCACATGCGTTTGAATGATCGGGACCAGGCTGCACTACCGCGTCTCCTTATAACTCGCTCAATTTTTTAGCCGAATTCCCTGATCCGTACGCAACAGCATCACTCGCTGCGATCGCTTCGCCTCTTTCCTCCATGAGGCGACGCCAGTCTCTCTCCCTCCTCTCCGCGCATCTCCGCCGTCTACAGCAGCATAACGGCCACGTGTCGTCATCCGACGCCGCGATCGCCCTCGCATCGTCATTGCACCCCTCCTTACAGCCGTCATCAGTCGCGTCTCCTCCAGAGCCAAGTCACGAAACTGTCTCACCGTTCTTCGCGAACCGCACCGGGACTGCGGCATTCGCGAGTAACCAGACCTCGACACTCGCATCATCGCTTTCGCCAGAGCCAATTCACAATTACGTCTCGCCGTCGCAATTCACGCTCACCCAGACTTCCGAAACCCGCACTCCGTCCGCCTTACCATGGTCGCACGGAGCGTGCTCCAGATCGACGGCTGTCAGCGTTTCCTTAGTACACCAACGGTCAGATGAGACTCTCCATCCTGGCAGGGCCGGCCAATGGCTGCGAGGGCCAGCAAGAACGGGAGCTGAGCTGCTGTTGAGTCTGCGAGAGCCGTTGAAGCCGAGTCGGCCATTCCTGCTGTCTACGAGTTTCTCTACCCATGGTGGGCCATACCGTGTTCTAGTCTGCGCTTCGCCTACTCGAAGTCACCTGGAGTCACTCACAATGCATTCTTCCCATTTCAACCCTCCAAGCGTTGATGTACTTACTGTTTCCTCTCCTCCTCCCTCTTCCGGTTGCTGTTTTCAGCGTCCTCCACACCACCACCACCACCACCAGTAATGCCGGCCGAGCTAGCAGCTGTGGTGGAGAAAAGCCTCTGTGCCGTCTTGGCCCGCCACCAGCACCTGGAGGAGCTGCTCTCCCAGGTCAGCTGCTCTCCCAGGTCAGATCTGCCGTTCTCGTGCTATTCTTAGGTGTGTTGTTTTCAGCGTCCTCCTCACCACCACCACCTGTGATGCCGGCCGAGCTAGCAGCTGTGGTGGAGAGGAGCCTCTGTGCCGTCTTGGCCCGCCACCAGCACCTGGAGGAGCTGCTCTCCCAGGTCAGCTGCTCTCCCAGGTCAGCTGCTCTCCCAGGTGAGCCGATTTCTTAAATAAGGTGATTTCTCAGGTGAGCCGATTTCTTAGATAAGGCGATTTCTCAGGTGAGGCGATTTCAAGTTAAGCGATTTCTCAGTTAAGGCGATTTTTCAGGTGAGGCACTTCTTTCTTACACTAATTTGGGGGAGGTGCCATCTGTCTGTGACGTGACCTTGTTGAAGGGAGTGAGAGGTGCCATCTGGTGTCTTGCCTTGCACCTACCAGCAGGTGGAGTTGCTCTCTTAGCTGGTCTCCTAGGTGAGGCATTATTGCTCATTGTGCTGGGTGCTGCACCGTGTGAGATGCTTGCCCAGGGTTTAAGGTTTAGGGTGCAGCTGCAGGTTAGGGTTGATAAAGGCTGCTGCTGTTTGGTGCGCTGCACTGCATTTGCTTGTTTCTCTTAGGAACAATGTTCCCTTTTCATGCCTTTTGCGCCAGCTCAGAAGAAGCTAGGCTCGTTGGCGAGGTAGCGGTTGTTCAGTGCAGTTCAATACGGTTCAACGCGTGATAATTGTTCCTCTTTCCCGCATGGGTCACTTTTCCTGCCTGTTTTCCCTGCCACCCCAGCCTGACACGTCAGCAGACGACCTGGCGAGAGCAGGCAAGGAGATGAGCGATCTGGCGCCAGCTGTCGCAATCGCACTAGAGCTGCAGAAAAAGACAAAGGTAGGCTCATGGGAATGCAGTGCAGCTAGTGGGCAAGTTCTGATTCCGCTCCGCCCAACAAGCAGTAGGGGTACAATGCGTTGTGCGTATTGGATTGCGCTCATATAGTCAGCTGTGGTGTTTCAATATAAACAACGGGAGATGACACCGGTGTATGTAGAAATATTGTGATCGTAGTGCCCCTCCATATTTCCTTCACCTTCCATCCCTCCCCTTTCATCTTTCATAAACCCTCCTCTCTCACACCCATCTCGCACCTATTTCTCGACCCTCAGGAATGCGACTTGCACGCACTACGTAAGGGTCATAGACAACCTTATAACGAGGACAGAGATGATTATTCAGTCGGCTCAAAACCCGTTTCACACCTCTTTCTGAACCCTTAGGAGCTAGACGACTTGCACGCGCTACTCAAGGGACAAAGACGGCCTTGTAACGAGGACAAGGACGTTAATTCAGGGAAAAAGGGAAGTGACAGGGAGGCGGATGAGGAGGAAGAGGAGTTTGAGAGCAATGGTGTGGGAGGAGATTGGGGTGTTGGGGGGGGGAGAGGGAGGGAGGCACTGCTGCGGAGAGTCCTTTCCTCCTTTATCAATCATCCTCTTTTGCACCCACGCACCTCCCTCAACCCTCAGGAGTTACAAGACTTGCACGCGCTACTAAAGGGACAAGGACAGCCTTATAACGAGGACAATGACACAAAGGGAGGGAAGAGAGAAGGAGGCAGGGAGGCGGATGAGGAGGACGAGGAGTTGAGAGCGATGGTGTGGGAGGAGATCGGGGTGGTGGGAGGGGAGAGGGAGGCACTGCTGCGGAGTGCAGTGAGGCGGATATTACCTAGGGACGAGGCGGACCAAAGAGGATGCATTGTGGAGGTGCGAGCAGGTGAGTGAGGTGAGATGCGAATGATGTTTGCTGGTTGGTGCGAGCGACGCCAAGCTCTAATGGAGGGGAAGAAGGAGGGAAGCACTGCTGTGGAGTGGAGTGCAGTGAGGCGGATATTACCAAGGGACGAGGCGGACCAAAGAGGATACATTGTGGAGGTGCGAGCAGGTGAGGTGGGACGCGGATTGTGATTGCTGGTTGTTGATTGCTGCTAGCTACGCCAAGCTCTAGGGGGTGGGCGGGGAGAGCGAGGAGGCTCTACTGCGAAATGCAGTGAGGCAGATACTGACAAAGGATGAGGCGGATACTGACAAAGGATGAGGCGGATACTGACAAAGGATGAGGCGGATACTGACAAAGGATGAGGCGGATACTGACAAAGGATGAGGCGGATACTGACAAAGGATGAGGCGGATACTGACAAAGGATGAGGCGGATACTGACAAAGGATGAGGCGGATACTGACAAAGGATGAGGCGGATACTGACAAAGGATGAGGCGGATACTGACAAAGGATGAGGCGGATACTGACAAAGGATGAGGCGGATACTAACAAAGGATGAGGCGGATACTGAGAAAGGATGAGGCAGACAGCAGAGGATGCATTGTGGAAGTCAGGGCAGGTGAGGTGAGATGAGACGCGGATGGGATGATATCGATTAATTCAGAGACACCATACATGAGAGGCACAATACATGAGAGGCACGACACATGAGAGGCACGACACATGAGAGGCACGACACATGAGAGACACGACACATGAGAGACACGACACATGAGAGACACGACACATGAGAGACACGACACATGAGAGACACGACACATGAGAGACACGACACATGAGAGACACGACACATGAGAGACACGACACATGAGAGACACGACACATGAGAGACACGACACATGAGAGACACGACACATGAGAGACACGACACATGAGAGACACGACACATGAGAGACACGACACATGAGAGACACGACACATGAGAGACACGACACATGAGAGACACGACACATGAGAGACACGACACATGAGAGGCACGACACATGAGAGACACGACACATGAGAGACACGACACATGAGAGACACGACACATGAGAGACACGACACATGAGAAGACACGACACATGAGAGACACGACACATGAGAGACACGACACATGAGAGGCACGACACATGAGAGGCACGACACATGAGAGACACGACACATGAGAGACACGACACATGAGAGACACGACACATGAGAGACACGACACATGAGAGACACGACACATGAGAGGCACGACACATGAGAGACACGACACATGAGAGACACGACACATGAGAGACACGACACATGAGAGGCACGACACATGAGAGACACGACACATGAGAGACACGACACATGAGAGGCACGACACATGAGAGACACGACACATGAGAGACACGACACATGAGAGACACGACACATGAGAGACACGACACATGAGAGACACGACACATGAGAGACACGACACATGAGAGACACGACACATGAGAGACACGACACATGAGAGACACGACACATGAGAGACACGACACATGAGAGACACGACACATGAGAGGCACGACACATGAGAGACACGACACATGAGAGACACGACACATGAGAGACACGACACATGAGAGACACGACACATGAGAGACACGACACATGAGAGGCACGACACATGAGAGACACGACACATGAGAGACACGACACATGAGAGACACGACACATGAGAGACACGACACATGAGAGGCACGACACATGAGAGGCACGACACATGAGAGACACGACACATGAGAGACACGACACATGAGAGACACGACACATGAGAGACACGACACATGAGAGACACGACACATGAGAGACACGACACATGAGAGACACGACACATGAGAGGCACGACACATGAGAGACACGACACATGAGAGACACGACACATGAGAGACACGACACATGAGAGGCACGACACATGAGAGACACGACACATGAGAGACACGACACATGAGAGGCACGACACATGAGAGACACGACACATGAGAGACACGACACATGAGAGACACGACACATGAGAGGCACGACACATGAGAGGCACGACACATGAGAGACATGACACATGAGAGACACGACACATGAGAGACACGACACATGAGAGACACGACACATGAGAGACACGACACATGAGAGACACGACACATGAGAGACACGACACATGAGAGGCACGACACATGAGAGGCACGACACATGAGAGACACGACACATGAGAGACACGACACATGAGAGACACGACACATGAGAGACACGACACATGAGAGACACGACACATGAGAGGCACGACACATGAGAGACACGACACATGAGAGACACGACACATGAGAGACACGACACATGAGAGACACGACACATGAGAGACACGACACATGAGAGACACGACACATGAGAGACACGACACATGAGAGACACGACACATGAGAGACACGACACATGAGAGACACGACACATGAGAGACCCCACCTCCGACTTGCTCGTGGTTGTTCGTTGTACTCGCACCACCCGTTGCCTTTTCGTATCCGTTCGTTTAGGGTTCTTGATTGATTCTCCCCTTGCACCACCTCTGACATGCTCCTGGTCGTTTAGGGTTCCGAGCTTCCCCTCCCCCCAACTCTCCCTACTCCCCTTCGCCTTCTCGCCCCTTTTCCCCCCCATTCATCGCCACTCAACCCATGCGTGTGTGCAAGCACAGGAGGCGACGAGGCAGCCCTATTTGAGACGACTCAAAACCTGCCCCTCCTCCCCTCTCCTCCTCTCGCCCTCCCTCCCCCATTCATCGCCACTCAACCCATGTGTGTGCAGGCACAGGAGGCGACGAGGCAGCCCTGTTTGCAGCTGACGTGTTCCAAATGTAAGTGAGCTGGTCGCTGGTCGCTGGATCATGATGAGGGTAGATATGATTTGATTCTATCATGATGGCATGTGCTGACGTGTTCCACATGTGAGCAAGCGTTTGTGATGAGGGGTAGATATGATTTGATATTGATGGCATGCGCTAATTTGATGAGTATGATGGTGAACATTGATTGGACGTTGGTTGGTAGTGCCGCCGGCCCGAATCTTTGAATCTTGATTTTAGAACCGACAGAGCCTGTGGTGACGCAATATGCTGTATCGGGTTTAGAGCCAACTGTTTTGATCTGCTGTATCGGGTCTGACTGTGAATGTGATGGGATGGGATGGGATGTGATGGTGGTGGTTGCAATTTGGTGTGGGGGGGTGCAATGCGGTGGGACGTTTTGTGGCATGGTTTTCATGGCAGGTACCAGCGCTTCTGCGTTAAGCGGGGGTGGCAGTTTGAGGTTCTAGATGTCACAGAGATTGAGAAGGGCGGATACAAGGTGAGGGCTGGGGTGATAGTAGGTGCGAGTTGGGGTGATGGTAGATGCGAGTTGGGGTGATAGTAGGTGCGTCATAGGGAGGCAAGCTGGGAGAAGGGTGGGTATTGGGTGCGATGGAGTGAGAAGGGTAGGAACAAGGGAGAGAGGAAATCAGAAAGAGGGGGTTTCTATCAAGGGAGAGGCCAAGGAGATGTTTCTGCCACTAAAAGCTGTACCAATGACCCGTGGTGCTTCCTACTCATCGGCCCTTCCCCTCTCTCCTCCACCATCCCCACTCTCCTCTCCCCCCACTCCTCGACTCTTTCCCCTCACCTCCTCTCTCATGTATCTCCCATCAATCGAATCATGGTCACCCAGCGTTTCGTCGGGGGACTCATCGCCCCACTGCTCCAACCCTTCCCCCTCCTGTGTCTTGCCTCCCACAGGAAGCGAGTGCGAGTGTGTCAGGGGACGGGGTGCTCGGGTGGCTCAAGTGGGAGAGTGGCGTTCACAGGGTGTTGAGGGTACTGACGACAACAGAGAAGGCGGGCAGGGGAGCAGAGTGCATACGAGCAGTCTCATGTTCACGGGGCATCAGCATGAGACTGCTCACCATGAGACTGCTCTACTGCTCCCCTTCATCACCATTTCTCATCTCCTCACCCCACTGCTTCCTCCCTCCCATCTCCCATCGCCACCCCCCACGACCCTTTCCCCCTCCCGTGTCTTGCCTCCCACAGGAAGCGAGTGCGAGTGTGTCAGGGGAAGGGGTGTTTGGGAGCCTCAAGTGGGAAAGTGGCGTGCACAGGGTGCAGCGAGTACCGGCCACTGAGAAATCGGGCAGGGTGCACACGAGTGCTGCTACCGTGGCTGTGCTGCCCCAAGCTGACGAGGTGAGCATTGCGGAACGGTGTAGAGGGGTGCAGAGGGTGCACAGGGAGCACAGGGTGCAGAGGGTACCAGCCACAGAGAAGGCAGGCAGGGTGCACACCAGTGCTGCTACTGTGGCTGTGCTGCCCCAAGCCGACGAGGTGAGTGGTGCAGAGGGGTACAGAACTGGTGCAGTGCAGAGCGGGTGGGCGTGTTTGGGAGCCTCAGTGGGAGAGTGGCGGCACACAGGGTGCAGAGGGTACCGGCCACAGAGAAGGCAGGCAGGGTGCACACGAGCATGCTTGTGGGGTTTTGTTGTGCAGGTGGAGGAGCTGAATTGCTAATCCGGCAGGATGATCTGCGCATCGACGTGTATCACAGTGGGGGATGTGGAGAGCAGTCGGTGAACCGCCCTTAGAGGATGTGAAACCCAGCTTTATCAGTCCATGCATGCATGCATGCGCTTTCTTCCCCTACAGGCGGATGTGCTAATCCGGCAGGATGATCTGCGCAGCGCATCGACGTGTATTGCAGTGGCGGATGTGGAGAGAGGGCAACTTTGGTTGAGATGTCTCAAAGCCGAGCTGTATTGGTCCGTGCGCACGTGTGTGTTGCCCCTTGCAGGAGGAAGTGCTAATCCGCCAGGAGGATCTGCGTATCGACACGTATCGCATCGGCGGGTGTGGGTGGAGGGCAGTCGGTGAACCGTGATAGAGGCATTCTAATCCTGGTTGTCTTTGTGCATGCATATGCATGTGCATGCGTGCGTACGTGCAATTTTCCCCCGATACAGGTGGATGTGTCGATCCGGCAGGAGGATCTGCACATTGACACGTACCACAGTGGCGGGTGTGGAGGGCAGTCGGTGAACCATCCTTGAGGCTTTTCTAACACGGTTATATTGGTGTGTGCATGCATTCATGTGGGCTCTTCTGTGCAGGTGGACGTGCTAATCCGCCAGGAGGATCTGCGTATCGACACGTACCGCAGCGGCGGGTGTGGAGGGCAGTCGGTGAACACGACCAACAGTGCCGTGCGCATCACCCACTTGCCCTCGGGGCTTGTCGTGGCTATACAGGACGAACGCTCTCAGCACATGGTGAGGTGAAGAGAAGAGTGGAGAGGTGGGGAGAGGTGGGGGAGGTTGGGAGAGGTTGGGAGAGGTTGGGAGAGGTATCACCAGCTGGGCAAGACAGCAGCAGGTGAAGTGAAGAAAGTAGTGCTAGGGGAGGAGATGAGAGGAGGAGCAAAGAGGAGAGGGGATGAGAGGAGGAGCAAAGAGGAGAGGGGATGAGAGGAGGAGCAAAGAGGAGAGGGGATGAGAGGAGGAGCAAAGAGGAGAGGGGATGAGAGGAGCACTTGCTCCCACGCTTCTGACCCTCTCGAAGGGCCATTGTTCCTTCTGTCCCATTCCCTATCCCCCATCTCTTCCTCAGAAAAGCCCCGCACAATTGAACTGATTTTTGAGTTCGCTGAAAATCGACCCTTCTGTCCCATTCCTTATCCCCCATCTCTTCTTCAGAAAACTCCGCACAATTGAGTTTGACTAAAGCCTTTACCTCTGTCCCTCTCATTATCCCCGCGGCTCCCCTCCTTGGCGCCTGCCCTCGCCCCCAAAACTTCTTTACTCCGCAGAACAAGGCCAAGGCGCTCAAGGTGCTGCGAGCACGGCTGTTTGACCTGCAGAGGAAGCAGGCCGAGGCGTCGCGGTCTCAGCTCAGACATGGGCAGGTGAGGGGTGGGCAGGTGAGGGGTGGGCAAGTGGGGGGTGGGCAAGTGGGGGGTGGGCAAGTGGGGGGTGGGCAAGTGGGGGGTGGGCAAGTGGGGGGTGGGCAAGTGGGGGGTGGGCAAGTGGGGGGTGGGCAAGTGGGGGTGATGGGCATGTATTCTGTGTCGTAGATCCAGATCTGTTCTGGCAAGTCAAATCATCTTGTCTGGGTCTGGGTTTCACCCTTCTTTCGTGATCCTTCATTCCTCTCTCTCATCCTCCCTCCCTCCCTCTCATCCTCGCTCCCTCCCTCTCATCCTCGCTCCCTCCCTCTCATCCTCGCTCCCTCCTGTCGACCCATTGTTTTTCCAGATCGGCTCTGGCGATCGCTCGGAGCGAATCCGCACGTACAACTTCCCGCAGGGCCGAATCACGGACCACCGCGTGGGCCTCACCCTGCACTCGCTGCCGCAGGTGTGAATTGGTCGCAAGCGGGTGTAGGCATGTCATATCGATGCATGCTTGATGTGCTCTGTGCTCTGTGCTCTGTGCACTGAGCACTGAGCTTTCTAGCTCTCTAGCTTTCTAGCTCTCTAGCTCTGCATTCGCACGTACAACTTCCCGCAGGGCAGAATCACGGACCACCGCATGGGGGTCACCCTGCACTCGCTGCCACAGGTGAGTGCTGCATCCAATAGTAGTTCCAAGTGTGTGGGTCTGTGGCACCTGGTATTAGTACATGTATTTATTCTGTGAGTGTGTGTCCATGCTCATGTCATGCTCATGCTCATGCCCATGCTCATGCCCATGCTCATGCCCATGCCCATGCCCATGCCCATGCTCATGCTCATGCTCATGCTCATGCTCATGCTCATGCCCATGCCCATGCCCATGCCCATGCCCATGCCCATGCCCATGCTCATGCTCATGCTCGTATTCATATTCATACTTTAAAAAGGCCGGCAAAGGCTGCAGTGGAGACCGAGGGCATGGAGGTGATCACAGAGGGGACTGGAAGCAGATCCTCGGACATTTTTCAATAAGCAGCGGTGCTTAGGTTCAGGCTTGAGCAAGTAGGTGACTTTTGAGTCGACTCAAAAGTTATTTTCCGATAAGCAGTGGTGCTTAGGTTCAGGCTTGAGCAAGTAGGAACCGCTGCTCACTGGAAAATGTCCGAGAGGTTGCAGTGGAGACTGAGGGCACGGAGGTGATCGCAGAGGGGACTGGAAGCACCAGCAACGGAGACCCTGCTTTTCTCTGCTCGCAGTGGAACCAAGAGTGAAATAAACACCTCCAAGACCCTCCTCGTCGTTCCTCTGTTCCCTCCTCTGTTCTCTACTCTACTGTTTGGCACCACAGGGCCACACAGCGAGTTTTGAGACGTCTCAAAACAGCACCACAGGGCTACAGGGCGAGGGGTCTGGAGGCGTTAATAGAAAGGCGCTGGAGAGAGCAGCAGAGAAGGGCCTTCCACCCCCGCTCCCTCCCTCCCTTCCTCACCTCCCTCTTCACCTCGTCCCTCCGCCCTTCCCCCCTCCCCTCCTCAACAGGTGTTGCAAGGGGAGGGCTTGTAAGCGTTTTTCGAGGCACTGGAGGCAGCAGCAGAGACAGCACCCCCTCACCCCCCCTGCCTTGATTCTGCTCCACCTCCCTCTGCCCCTCTTTGACCCCCCAGGTGCTGCTAGGGGAGGGCTTGTAAGCGTTTTCCAAGGCACCGGAGGCAGCAGCAGAGAAGTCGCTGTCCCATTTCCTCCCTCTCTCCCTTACATTCCTCTTCCCCTCGTCCCTCCGCCTTTTCCTCTCCCTCCGCCCTTCCCCCCCCTCCCCCCCGCAACAGGTGCTCCAAGGGGAGGGCCTGGAGGCGTTTATAGAGGCGCTGGAGGCAGCAGCAGAGAAGGAGGCGATAGATGGCCTGGCCAAGGCAGGGTAGGTGCATGGAAGTGGGGCAGCTGAAACTGAGACAGCTGAATCTCGGGCAGCTCAGCATTCTACCTCTGTCTTCTTCTGGAGGCAGCAGCACAGAAGGAGGCAGCAGCAGGGAAGGATGCAGCAGCACAGAAGGAGGCGATAAATGGCCTGGCCAAGGCAGGGTAGGTGCATGGTGCTGTGGCAGCTGGTCCAACCAGAATCTCGGGCAGCTCAGAATCCAACCATATACTGCGATTATGGTGTGCTCTTCTGTGTTGGGAACAATAAGTCTTAAAGCGCCTCTGTCGTGTCGAAACTCAGGACACAAGCGAAGCAGTCCAAATCGAAGCATCGCGAGTCAACCCTCGGAGGTCAGGGTAACCGCCTGGAGGTTACGCGAAGGTCAAAAGTCAGCGACCTTTGACTTGACAAATACAGCGCGACAGCAAGGACACATAACTGACTCGACATTGAGCAGTTGCCCGAGTCGCACTGTATCGAATCGCAACAGCAAAACAGTTTAATTATATCTTTTCGTATTCCTTGTACTCTTATATAAAGCCTTGTATTTGCTTGTTTTAATCAACTTACTTTGCCCTCACATACTAGCGCAAGGTGGTTCAAGGACTTTTCATTCAAACGCTTCCGCTATTACAATCCTACTCAGACTCTAACTCTACAAAGATCCTAGGGCATCTCAGCCCAACATGGTATGAGAGCATATAGAGTTCAAAGTTAATTTTTCCCTTAATACTTAATACAAGGAAGACATGTCTACTAGGAAGGAGAGGAGCTCCTCCAACGGTTCTCCAGGCACTACCCCTACTCCACCTCCTATCTCTGGTCTGCAGACGGAAGAAGGGACTACCACGAGACCAGCAGCTGGGTCTACGGAAACGCCCGCAGGCTTCGATCCAAGCATGATGGAGAAATTCTTCTCCTTCATGTCCTTCTACGAGCAGCACCAGCAAGGAGTACCTGCGCAGTCAAACAACAGCAACAACAACAACGTAACTCCTATGAGTCTCGACGGCTCATCCTACGCACGCGGAATTCAACAACAACAACAGCAGCCTACCTTTGCGCCGTACGAGCCCCAGCGTGGCTCCGTCAGCTTCATGCCGCAACCGCAGTCTGCACCGGGACAAGAAAGGGCATTGGACGCATTACAAGTTCAATCGCAATTCGCGCATGTTCTCAAGCTGCAAATGACAAAGCCTTTCGACGGAAAAGACTTCTTCACCTGGTCGTTCGAGTTCGAACTGATGATGGAAGGAGCACAGATTCTCGGCTTCTTCGACGGGTCCCTGCCATATCCGACAAACGGGACACAATATGAGAAGCAGCAGTACACCTATCAATCAATGATGGCGTACACGATACTGCTAAGAAACATCACCCCGACCCAGCAGCAGAACATCAGGACTTACCGAGGCTACGGCAACTCCGCGGAGCTCGCGTACAATCACCTGAAGAACCTGTATCAAGCAACAGACAGCGTAAATCAAAGCAGGTTAATGGCGCAGTTGACAACAATTGAAATAAAACCAGGCGAGAAAGGCATGGCTTATATCAGCCGCTGCCGCGAACTGCGCGACAAGCTTCTTCGATGCGGAGGGTCGATTTCAGAAGACGCCTTTGTCACGGTAGTCATCGGCGGTCTCGGCCCCCACTGGCGCTCCACTCGCGCCATATTACGAGCACACAGGAGGATTTCCGAAGCGGCACTTTGCGCCGAAATTCATGCCGAGCAGCAGGACATGGACCTGCAAGAAGAAAGACACAAGAAGAAAACATTAGCACCGGAGTCTGCGTTTCACACTCAGCGACGATACAACAACAACAACAATCGACAACAGCAACAAGTGAAGACGGTACCTCCGTTTTGCCACATCTGCAAGACTTCGGGACACCCTCGCACGCACTGCCCGTCTCGTCAGACAACACCACAGCGACAACTCCGGCCTTCAAGCTCCCAAGTTGCCTCAACACAAGCAAATCCGACGACCTCAATCCAAGCTTCAACGACTCCAACAGGACAATCTGCACAAGGAGCAAGAAACATTGTCAATTGCATGGTGAAGATAACTGATTCGTGCACAACCGAATCACCACCTCACTACTCACCGGAAGAAGAGCTCGACAACAGGACGCCTCGCCGCGAGTCACTCCAACCGAATCCGACGTACGCCGCCATCGCTCAAAGCGAACCGTCCGGGCAAGACACCTGGTTCTTGGATAGTTGCTGCGGACAACATATGTGCTCCTCGGGACGCTTCGTTCAACGCGAACATCGACTCCAGCGAGAAGTAGTCATCACGGTCGCCAACAACCAGAACCTGCGCACACGACGACAAGGAGTAGTTCAGCTTCAATCAAGAGAAACAAACGTCATACTACACATGTCAAAGGTACTCATCGCAGAAGGACTCGGTTATAACTTACTGAGTGTCAGCCAGCTGATGGCGAAAGGCATCCACTTGGAAGCCGACAGCACCACCCAGGAGTTTAAACTGTACCACGGGAAGGGCGGCCTCTACATCGGAAGAGCAGTTTTGAAGAACAACGTCTTCGTCCTCGATTTCGTCCCCGACCTTGGCACTGCAGATAGCGACGCCATCGTCAACTTCGCCAATTGGACACACCCCCCGGATCTCGATCCCGACTTCAGCCCGGGAGGTTTCTGGTACTCGCACACCATCCCTGAAGCAGAACGAACACGAGCATTAGCAACAATTCAACAAACGGCAGTAGCAGAGACAACATCGATAGCAGCAGAAACATCATCGGCAGCAGCAGGACCAACGACACCAGTCATCGTCGACGAAGCACCACCAACACCCGCACAGCAACTGAACCCGACTCAACGAGAAGTCTACAGAAGCGCCAATGTCGTCGCCAGCTTCTACTCCAACTCCGACCCGTATCAACGCTCACCCGGACATCGCGCTCCTGAAGACATCTGGCACGCACGCACAGGACATCCAAGCAACACAGTATAAAATAACACAATACGAGCAAGAGTCCTCGACAAAGATTCGCTACTACTACCTGACCGCAGAGAACTTCAACGGGCACGAGGAACTTGCCTCATCTGCCCCGAAGCCGACTTACCCCATCGACCGTTTTCTTCTCACCACAACCCGAGCGCACCTGCATACGCACCACTCGAGAAAGTATACAGCGACATCCTCTTCAATCGAGAACCAGGACAAGTCACCTACAATTACACGATAACCTTCATCGACGCCGCCACTCGATATGTCTGGCATCGAAACCTACCCAGCCGCGACATGGCACTCGCAGCGTTCGCCGCTTGGCTACCGGTAGCAGAGAGGGAGTCAGGAACAGAGCTGAAAAGCTTCCAGTCAGACGGAGGAGGAGAATACACCTCTCAGCGCTTCAAGCAGTACCTGGCGGAAAGAGGGATCAAGCAACTCCTCTCCCTTCCCTACGCCCATCAGCAGCAAGGTGTAGCAGAAAGAATGAACAGGACTCTGCAGAACAGCATGCGCAAACTGCTACGTGGCATGCGGCTACCCAACCACCAGTGATCTGCAGCAATGGACCATGTTGTCATGCTGCACAACTTGCTGTCGTCGTCGTCACTCCCGAACAACGCATCACCGCATCTGCTGTGGACAGGAAAGCAGGGCATCACAAGAATGTTACGAGTTTTCGGATGCATGGTGTAGTACCGACCCCCAGAAGCACGAGCGGGAAGATTTTCACAACGCGCACAGTGGGGACTACACCTCGGCATCGAGAAAAATTACAACGCGTGGAAAATTTTCGATGTCCACTCAAAGGAAACAGTAGCAGCACGTGATGTGATCTTCTACGAGCGACTCACCCTTCAAACGTACCTCGCTTACTTGCACGAGAATCAGGACCCCACAGGTGGTTTTCGTGGTGACCGAGCCTTCGCCTCAGCAGCGGACAAAGCAGACTGGGATGAACAGAACGTCGACAACGCATCGGAAGAAACCGGACCTCTCCCGTACTGCTCCGTCGACGTGCCCATGGACGAAGACAATCCTCGCGACAGTGTCAACGCCGAAGTCTTCTATCACTTCGCCGACAACGATTACGTAACACCTGCGACAGTCAACACAAACGAAGCAGAACGGATAGGGCCAAATTTCATACCCGATCCAGAAGCGGGAGACGAAGCAGCTTATCCCGAGGATCCAACACTCCCCCGATACTCACAGACTGGACTGCAAATCCTCGGCCTCGTCACCGCAGTCCACGGCAACGCACTTCCTAAGGAGCCTGCGACGATTCAGCAGGCTCTGGGGGGGGAACACAGGGAGAAATGGCGCGAAACCATGGACAGAGAGTTAAAGGCACTGGAGGAAAACAACACTTGGAAGGTCGTTCCCACAAGCGTGGCAAGGAACAAAACCATTCTCACCGGGAAATGGGTCTTCCGCATCAAAACGAAAGCAGACGGCACAATCGAGAAGCTCAAAGCACGCTGGGTCGTGCGTGGATTCGACCAAGAGCAAGGACGAGACTTCACCGAGACATTCGCCCCAGTTAGTCGACATACCTCTCTTCGAATTCTTCTCGCCGCTGCCGCCATGAAGAAGAAGAAACTGCGACAAATCGATGTCGCCAACGCATTTCTCTAAACACCCGTCGACGCTGAAATCTTCGTCGAACTCTCACACGGTACCCACGGAAACCCCAATCAGGTCTGCCAGCTACTGAAATCGCTCTACGGAATCAAACAAGCCCCGCGGCTGTGGCAACAGCACCTACACACCCGACTCACTCGCATCGGATTCCGCCAACTGCCGCACGACCAAGGAATGTATCGATTCACTAAAGACGCCGATTACATCCTACTGATCGTCTACGTCGACGACCTACTCTACATCGACTCCACCAACGACATCACCACCTGGTTCGAAGGGGAGCTGCAGAAGGACCTCACGCTCACGGTTTCTTCTACCGTCACCCAGTACCTCGGGCTCAACATCCGCGAAGAAGAAAATGCTATCTACTTAAGCGCCG